CATGTATGAGGATCTAAAGTGGGGCAGGGGGGATAGAGGGGTGAGGATAGGTGGGGGTATAATCAAGGGCTCACATGGTTGATGGGTGGGGGTGACTTTGATTGGGGAGATGGGAGGGATCTGTTGTGAGGGGAAATGTATACAAACTTTATATGTAATCCAGTGTACAGTTTAAAAAAAAAACCAAGAAGAATTGCAAAAAATAGGGGGGAAGACAAGAGTCCACTAATTAAAACAACAACAAAAACCCAAAGGGGAGGAAAAACAACCCAAAACCAAAACCTTCATAAGATGAATCCTCTTAGGAATTTTAAGTTTCATTCTCAAACACTTTTAAATGTGAATACATTCTCTAAGAATTTTTTTTTTAAAAAGTGTCTTCTAGTGGTTCTTTGGACACAACTTATTTTTCTAGTAGTATTTTTTCTTCTGATTGTAACTTTTGCCAGTTCATCTTTTCATTTAACTGTGAATTGAGAGAGTTCTTTAAGATGTGGTCTCAGACCTATTCTCTTATCACTCTATACTCCATTTCTAAGACTTGCCATGAAGCTAACAACTCATAGCAAACCTATAAACAACAGATTGGAACCTTGTCCTATCCTGTGCCTTCCTTAAAAATCTCCATAATGTTGCAGTCAATGTGAATTCTTCTCATTTTTTTCTCTTTCCTTGACCTTCTATTTTTTCCAAACATGATGAACAGGAAAGGGTAGGCAATGGAGGAAATAACTAGGAAAATAGTGCAGTAAGCAGAGGGGTGATGATGAAGGAATTAGGAAAGGAATGATTTAATGGGTCCTGGAAAGATAGGGCAATAGTAGTCATAGATTAATGGTGATTAGTTTACAGAATTCTCCTTGGCCTCCAAAAGAAAAAGACAATTAAAAAATGGGCAAAAAACATGGAAGAATTTTCACAGAGGAAAATATTCAAACAGCAAACAGACACATGAAAAATGCTCCAAATCACTGGCAATATGAGAGATACAAATCAAAACCACAAATGAGGTACCATTTCACTCCAGTAACAGTGGCAAAGTTTAACAGGGCAGCAAGGAATAAATGTTGGAGAGGTTGTGGTGAGAAAGGAACTCTTACTTATTGTTGATGGGATTGTTAAATGGTGCAACTGTTCTGGAAGGCAGTTTGGCACTTCCTCAAAAAGCTGAACATAGAAATGCTATATGACTCAGCTATTCCACTACTTGGAATATACCCAGAGAATATGAGAACTGAGGCACAAACTGAGATTAGTACACCAATGTTCACAGCAGCATTATTCACTATCACAAGAACATGGAAGCAGCCCAAATGTCCAAACACAAACGAATGGATTGAGACATTATGGTACATTCACACAATGGAATAATATGCAGCACACAGGAACAATGATTGTGTAAATTATTATCTAACTTGGGAGGGACTGGAGATGATTATGCTAAGTGAACTAACCCAGTCCCACACAAAAAAATGTTGTATAAACCATTATTTTAGAATAAGTATAAGGACCCAAGAAGGGTGGGAGAGGATGGAAGCAGAGGGATGAGGATGTGCAGGGGGAGGAGAGGATTAATCATGGGGTTGTACAATTAAATGGGGCCGGGGTGAAGGAAATGGAAATAATTTATTCCTAAAAACAATGTATTTTAATTTTGTAAATAAACTAGAAAATTTTAACAATCCAATGCACATGAGTACAATGTACTTGAAATATAATGTAAATGTAGAAATATGTGAAATGCATTAAAAATTAATATACATTTTGTATCAATCATGTACGTTTTGTATACAAACCAAAAAAGAGAGAGGAAAAAGAAAACTAGCTTTTTCGTCTATGTATATGTTGCATAAGCATAAAGTCTTATGAAATTCTTCTTCTCAATGTTATCTATAATTTGTTATGGTCCACACAGTTGAATACCTTGCATAGTCAATAAATTACAAGTAAATATGTAATATGGATCTTATCTGAAAGCAGGGAATACCAGAATAATGTCTATCTGTGTTTCATTGATTATGTAAAGGCGTTTGACTATGTGGATCATAACAAACTGTGGCTGACTCTGAGAAGAATGGGAATCCCATAACACTTGATCCTTCTCATGCAAAACCTATACTTGGACCAAGAGACAGTCGACAGAACAGAGCAAGGAAACACTGCACGGTTCAAAATTGGGAAGGGCATTCGCCAGGGATGTGTCCTATCCCCATACCTTTTCAACCTGTATGTAGACCAGATTATCCGAGAGGCTGGGCTCTATGACGAGAAGTGTGACGTCAGGATTGGTGGAAGATCTATTTACAATTTGCGTTATGCAGATGACACAACCCTGTTGCTGAAACTGAGGAGGACCTGAAATGCTTGCTGGAGAGGGTCAAGGACTGCAGCCTTTAGTATGGATTGAGGCTCAATGTCAAGAAGACAGAGATTCTCACTACTGGACGAAGGGGCAACATCAGGATGGATGGTGAAGAGATTGAGACTGTTAACAACATTAGTCTGCTTGACTCCATTGTCAACATTATTGGCACCAGGAGCCAGGAAATAAAAAAACGTACTTTGATAGTAAAGTCTGCTGTTAGGAACCTCTCTAAAGTACTGAAGAGCAATGCTGTCACTCTGGAGACTAAGGTGCATCTGATACAGGCTATGATCTCTGCAACCACATGTTATGCATCAGAGAGTTAGACAATGACCAGGGAGGATAGAAGGAAAATTGATGCCTTTGAGCTGTGGTGCTGGAGAAGAGTATTGAATGGACAGCCAAGAAAACAAACAGATTCATCCTGGAGAGGGTTAAGGCAGGCTGCTCCTTGGAGGCAAGGATTTTGGGGCTTCATCTGACAAACTTTGGACATGTTGTAAGGAGGGAGAGGCCCTTGGAGAGGGACACCATGCTTGGGAGGGTGGAGGGGAAGACCCTCTATGAGCTAGATTGATTCAGTGACTGGGGTAATCTGGATGGGTGTGTCAGAGACAAGTTAGCACAGGATAGAGCAGATTTCAGGGCTTTTGTACATAGGGTCGTTATGAGTTACAAGCTACTTGATGGCACATAACAACAATAACAACTCCAAATGAGCATTGAAAGTGCACATATTTGAATTCCATTACCTATTAAAAAGTTATTCAGCAACCATGATGGTTATTAAAATAAAAAGATAATACCTTTGGTAATAAGATTTCTGCATGAATAATTCCTGGCCAAGTTCAGAAGTCTCATCTCATTGTCACTATTTAAATTTATTTTCATTGCCTTCACAACAATGGCTGTGTATCTATTCCTTGATCTTATTTTGCTTCTCTCCACCTCAGGATTTATTTGTGATTCCATAAATGTGATTTATTCTTCTGTCTCTTTAGCTCTTTCATGCTGTCCATTCCCTTTGTTAATTTTTGTCGAATCCCTACTAGATGCAATACCTTTAATAAGTACATACTGTACTGACGTCAAAAATATTTTAGACATTAAATTAGAACTAATTGGTTTGTGTCTTTTCCTGATTTGTCTGTAAATATTGTAAGGAATAGGATTTTATTTTATTCACTGGTAAATCCCTGTGACTGGTGGAGAGCTTCATATGGCAGGTAATTGATAAATGCAATGAGGTGGAAAGAAAGGATGAAATATTTCAAAGAGGGATTGGGAAGCATCTGAAACAATGTTTTGGTAAACAGATTAAAGGTTTTCATTTCAAATTTTAAACGTTTAAATCTATTTAATAGTAACATATTTATCTCAGCATGTTTTGCCGTGTCAGCTCGGATAGACTGAAGACTTGAGATTTCCTGTCCGTCAGGATCCTAATGATGAAGCTTAAGGAGCTGGAGGCAAGAACAAGAAGTAGATGCTCCTCAGATGCAGCAGATCCACAACTGTTTTGTTGTTGTTGTTGGGAAGAAGTTTGGAAAAGGGGAGCAGAATGAAGAGAATGTGTTGCCTCTTCCTGTGCTCTCTGGAGTGATACATCTTATTCACTATCAAACTTCCACTGTAAGTTTATGCGGGAGGTACAACTCTTCTCATATCTGTGACATGAGGACTGGAAAAATTAGGACCTTTTCACATCAGGTGCCTTGCATTGAGAAACATGGAAAATCAGTTTGCCTCAATAACTAGAATTTTATAACAAGCTGTGTCTCTAGGAAGGAAGAATTACAATCAGAAAGATATTTTTAGCAGCTGAAAACAACAGTAAACACACAAATATTTAATTAGTCATAAAACTTACCATTCCTCTTAAAGATGCGCTCTCGGATAGGCATCAATGGGCGATTCAAAAGACTTTGGTCTGGGCGTGTCAGTACTTCTTTGATTAGAGGCATTCCACTTACTAAAACAGTTGAGAAGTGCCCAAACTCCACACTAAACAGGTTTCCATATTTGTTCATAAGCTGAAAAACAATTAGAGTTGAATTTGCACATATCTGTGTAACCAGGAATGAAGGGTGTGGGCATATGGTCATAAAGGTGCTCACAGAAGGTGATTATGTGCAGGTGTCTATATGTGTGTGTTTGGGTGTGTTATCAAGTGACCCAGATAGAGCAGAAATATTCATTCTACAATGGACCACAGGGATTTGGTTGCTATTCAGTAAACTCTTTTACTTCTCTCTGCCTTGCTTTCATCTTTGGAAAATGTGGACATCAACGATTGAGGAATACAGTCACTTCTTTGAGAACTCTGATTTGTGGTCTGATTGGAGTCTTTCTAGCTCCTTTTGTCCTCTTCACCTTCTACACTGCACTAAATTCAAATCCTTACAGGATTGGGAAGTTCTATTAGAAACATTCAGTAAAATATCCAATAAGCACGAATTGACTCTACACATCCCTACAAGAGAACACTAAAGTTATTAGTGTCAATATACAAACAGGATTCCTCATTTCAATTATGTGATAAAAAGAGAAAAGTAATTCACTTGCCCTCACAAAATAAGACTGAGTTATGGTCAGTCTAAGTTTGCTGTAGCAAACATAGATTCTTAGTAAACCAGAATACTGTTTGAGACATGAACTAGAAAGTAAAACATTAAGGGTTCTCTTAAAGGATGTAATAAAGTCAGTGTTAAGCACTGGAGCAAGGTATAGGGGAAAAGTACTCTAGGTCTGAAGTTGTATGTGAATCTAGGCTCAATGGTTCACAAGTCAGACAAGCTTCTTCCTGTTCTTTCAACTCTTCAGCTATAAAAGGAGTGGGCACCAATCCTTCATCAAAAGCTCTGCAAGAAAGACTGAGAGCTGCAATAAGAGAGAAATGTGTTTTCTGGTGCCTGACACTGAGTCACTCAATCACCCTCAGAGATCAGAATGTGCTCTGTGTGCACCCCACAGTCATTGTCAGAGACGAGCAGAGCTCCAGGCTGTGGGGGTCAGGGAAGGCATTTTTAATCACAGAAAGTCACGTCACTGCCTGTCATTGTACAGTAGCTTTCACATTTTGTCTCCTTTAATCTCACAACCTATAATAATAATGATTTTTCTAATGAGGAAGCTCAGCCAAGTGAGAGGTCATCAAATGGTGGAGGGAATTGGCTCCCATTTTGTAAGAGGCATTATGTAAAATGTGGAGACAAACATTGCACTTTAAAAGTTTGTGGAATCTTAGAAGTCAATGATAGTAAAGAGTGAGAGAGCAAGAGAGAGCGATAGTGAATGGAAGAGTGTGTAGATATGTTTTTAATGTGCACAAGTGTGTAGATGTGTGCAGATGTGTACTGGATGACAGCGAATGCTCATTAATTAAAGTGCAAGAGATTATTTGGTTCAAGTCGAGACCGTCTCTGCTTTTTGTCTGCCTATGTGTATCTAGTTAAAGATAGTGATCTGTCAAACAGAAGGTCTCCATTTCCTAGGGGTAGCTAGGGTCTTTATCCCCAGTTCTCATATTTTACACTTGATCTATACCACTCTGGACATTTATCACCCCCATCAGAGCAAATGTAATAAATCCAAACCAATATTCTACCATCTTAATCCTCATTAAAGACCAAATCAGCAGTCAATCCATTATTCCTTTGGTCCAGGGTCCTCTTTCCAATCTTTGTTCATCTCCAGTACATTATGTCCTATCTTCCTAGAAGAGAGAGTAATCAAGAGTAGGGAAGAGTTGATCTTCAAGTACATGTTTTGTCCTAAAAAGCGGAGGTGGTGGTTGTTATGTGCCATTGAGTCTCCTGTGAGAGTCATAGTGGCTCTATGTACAATCGCTCTGTATCCTGTCTTATCCTAATTTCATTGTCTACGACACACCTAACCCTATTACCTCAGTTACTAAGTCAATCCATCTCATTCCTCATCCTCTCTTGCACTATCCCTCCACCCTTCCAAACATGATGTTCTTGTCCAAAGACTTATCTTTCCTGTCAACATGCCCAAGTATGTGAGATGGAGTTTCTAAATCCTTTCCTTCATAGAGCAGCTCCTAGCAGTTCACGGTATGTTCAAGACTCTTCTCCAGGACCACAAATCAAAGGCATTGATTTGTCCTGTGTCATCCTTAATCATTGTCGAGCTCTTTGATGCAAAGCAAAGAATTGTAGAGATCATGCTTTGAATCAGGTGCACCTTAGTATCTATACTGACGTTATTGCTCTGCAGTACTCTGGAGAGGACACTGATAGCAGATTTTCCCACGATTGGCTGACTGTGGGTGCCAAGAGTGTTGATTGTGGAACCAAGCAGGCTGAAATTGTTAACAATTGCAATCTCTTCTCTTTTCCCCATGATGCTACCAATTGGCCCTGTCGTGAGAATCTTTGTCTTCCTGATGTTGAGCTTTAATCCATACTGAAGACTATATTCCTTGACCCTCTGCAGAAAATGCCTCAGGTCCTCCTCCGTTTCAGCAAGCAAGGTTATGTCATCTGGATAAGGCAGGATGTTGATGAGTCTTCCTCCAATGCTGATGCCACCTTCCTCCTCAAGAAGTTGCCTCCTAAATGATCTATTCCCCATATAGATTGAAAAGGCATGGAAATAGGCTGCAACCCTGGCATACACCTTTCATGATTTTGAACCACTCAGTGTTTCCCTGTTCTGTTCTGATAACTGTCTCCTAGTCCAAGTATAGGTTTCACATGAGCACAATTAAATGTTCTATGGTTCCCTTTCTTCTCAAGGTTAGTCACAATTTGTTGTGATCCACACAGTCAAATGCCTTAACACTGTCAAGGAAACACAGATATATTTTTCCTCTGGTACTCTCTGCTTTCAGCTAAGATCTATCTAAAATAGGCTATAATGTCTTTAGTTCCAAGCAATGAATAACAGATCTGAATTTTGCCCTATACTAAGGCCATTTTTATAATCTCAACCATGTTCAAGCCCATTTATTGCAGTTACTGTGTTAATCCATCTCATTCACCGCCTTCAAGTCTTCCATTAACCTGTTACCATTACATCATGGGGAAAAAGTATGATGTCTTTTCCCAAGGATTCGCACCTTCTGACAATATTCCCAGTGTATGTGAGATGGTTTAACATCCTTGCCTGTAAGGAGCACCCTGGATGTACTTCCTCCAAGATAGATTTGCTCTTCTTTTGGTAGTTTATGATCTCTTCAAATGCTTTATCAACACCCCAACTCAAATATATCAATTCTTTGATCTTGTTCATTGTAGAATTTTCAGATTCATATAAAACAATTGAAAATAGCCTAACTAAGTGGCCCTAACTTTGTGATAGGTCAAGTCCAGATACTAATGTCCTAACAAGTGTTTCATTCCAAGAAGCTTGTAATATAGTAGATGCAGATATATAACTAGCCTCTATTATTATTCTGTATAAAACATTATTTTACATGTTGTGTTGTGTTGTGTACCATAGAGTTGGAACCGACCGATAGTAGACCCTCTCGTGGTTTTCAGAGGCAATTAATTACACACGAGGTGATTGCCCATCTCTCTCTTGTGAAGCAGTTGGTCACCTCTAACCTCGTGTCTTCGGGACTGCAGAGAAGTTTCTTGCACTAGGGCAGCGTTAACAAAATAGTTAAGGGGATAAGAGATATTGGTGGTAAGGAGGTAACAGATAAATGAGGATTACAGTAAAAGAGCATAAAGAACCCACATCTTTGCATCACCTTATGGTATAGAATTCCATTTAATGAATTGCCCATCTACTTCTGAACTTATTTATAAGAGAGAAGTCAACGTCGACATTAATTCTCCTACCATATCTTAGGTTTGTTTTGCTATAACAGCTTGATATATTCCCTTAAAAGTCAATTATCCTACTTTAGTCTGAAAAGATATTTTACTTAAGCACATTATAAAAAATTTGGAAACATATAATAAAAGGTTTTGGAGTTGTGTTGTTATTATATGCAGTCTACTTGCCTGTGACTCATAGTGACTCTCTGTACAAAAGCCCTAAACCCTGCTTTATCCTGTGCCAATTTCACTGTCTCTGACACACCTACCCCCATTACCCTAGTCACTAAATCAACCCATCTCATTGAGGGTCTTTCTCTTCTGTGCTGTACCTCCACACTCCCAAATACAATGTTCCTCTACGAGAACTGGTCCCACCTTGCAACATGTCCAAAATATGTCAGAAGAAGCTTCAGAATCTTTGCCTCCAAGGAACAGCTTGGATTTACCCTCTCTAGGACAAACCTGTTTGTCCTCTTAGCAGTCCATGGTATATTCATCACTCTTCTCCAGCACCACAGCTCAAAGGCATCAGTTCTCCTTCTATTATCTCTGTTGTTGCTGACTGCTGTAGAGTCAAGCACGACTCATAGCAACCCTATGAACAAAAGCCTGAAGCCTTTCTATAACTATCAACTTTATCAAAGTCCATAGAGTTTCCAGAGGCATGTTGTTTAGGAATTGGATGCTACTCTAGTTGGGGGATGGAATCTAATTTTTCATACAAATAGGCCAGATTCCTCATTATCTACTCACAATGTTTTAAGTCATTCAGATTTCCAGACTCCTAAATTGTGAATAAATAAAATTTGGCTTGTTAAAGCCATTCACTTGTGGTATTTCTATTTTTGAATTTAAAGATAACTAAGACAATGTCTGCTATGGTCTTCAGTGTATGTAAAAGTAATATTTAAGAAAATTATATTCAAAATGGGTGACCCTGGAGGACATTATGCTGAGCGAGGTATCTCAGTCACAAAGGGACAAATGCTATATGGTGCCACTGTTGTAGAATGAGGCTGGCATTGGGGTGGGGGTAAGACTGAGA